AATATAAAATTTCAAATTAAAGCCATGCACCATCCATGTTGGTGCGCTGCGCGAATTCAAGACGACAGCTTACTGTCCCTCTCCGTCACGAAAACAAGCTCCATCCGATACTGCGCTCGACATCTCCGCAACGATGGTATCTCGCCCTGATGGTCAGTTACATGCTTTAGCCTATGTTGTATTCAGATGCGGATCTTCATACCACCCACCCCTATGTTTGGCAATCATCCGTCCAGTCATCATCTTTTTTATATCGGTTTTCTGCACTACCAAACCGTTGAAAAATGGCGAAGCGACTTAAAACGACGCATATCACTACTTGCTTCTCGAAGCGACCACGTGACGACGTTGTCGGTGGTGAAGGCAAACTGACAGCACCGGCATACCAGGCTTTGGACCAGCGTGAAAGTGCTGGAGTAATATGGTGCATAAAAGGTGTTCCGAACAACGTAATCGGCTGTACTATTAGTGACGTTTTAACCATTTAAGTCTTGAGGTTTTAGAGACCTCAGAGGGCCTCTACTAATGCAAATCACGAGTATCTAGTGGAGCAAAATGGCATACGAAAGGTCACGCTGGAAAGCCAAGTCGGGCAGAAGCCCTCGCGGGACCTCTTAGAAGGCCAATCAGGCTTGTCGCGAAGGTACGACCAGGGTGTGCAACGTCCTTCCCCCTTGCGCGATTAGAATCATTCTTCTTGCTTTTCAAGATCTGACTTGACGAGTACATGGACATCGAGTTATTGCTTTCAGAATGGGAACCTGACGGGAACGATCTCCACGGGCCACAAGGAGATGAAAACGACAGCGAAGATGAAAGCAAAGGCGACGATGTTGAATGCGTCGGTAGGGATGATGGCACAGCCGGCGGCACGATGATCGGGCCTCGAGTCGACCCAGACATTTTCTGAGTTGGGCAGCACTACATTAATGGGCTGGAGGCTTATGGAGGTATCACCTTGCTCCAAGAGGAGAAGGCTATGCGTGCATACCGGGAAAAAGTCATACTGGGCCTATTTGCGCTGTTTTTCACACGTAAGTTGCGCAACACACTACTGCAGTGGACCAACCCTCGTCTTCGAGAAAACGGTGCACCAGACACCACACTTCGGGAGCGTCTTGATGCAGACGGATACCGCAACTAGACGTCGTGGAAAGGGTGAACGCGAGAAGTTTCACTACTACTTGTCGTTCGTCGGCCAAGTTTGTCGATCAGCCTTCGCTCACTGCCTTGGTGTAAAGTCACTTACAATTCAGCGCTATAAGCGTCGCGTTCGAGAGAGGAATATTGCAGCCAAAGAACATGGCAACAAACTCAACAAGAATGCCTCCTCCGTAGATGTAGTTTGGTTGGTCAAGTGGTTTAAAGAGTTCGCTGCCGAGGTAGGTGACGTGGTACCAGTGCGGGTTCGCACGCAGAAAACTAAAGACGGCGTGGTGAACAAGTACTATAGCCGTGAAGACTACACCCTGTTACCTGCAACGTTTAATTGGAACGTTTGGCATGAAGAAATGCACAAGTACGTGGCTTTGGGTCTTCACATGAACGAGCCCGCGCCTTCCACCATCAGGAAGCTGCTGTCTATCCACTGTCCAAAGATTAAAATCCGGTCTGATCAGTCGAATGTCTGCGACCTGTGCACAGTCTATCAAACTCGCATGCGTTATAACGGTACGGCCGACCAAACCGAGGAACTGGGAAAGGACACGGAGTCGGCTCGCCGAATGAGGTTCGTACACATAAGTATCATTTTGATTTACATGCTGGGCATTAATCTCATTTTGTTTAACTGTGAACACCCAGACGCGAGTGAAAGAAGAACCGGGCTGCCGTACACAGCGGGGATGAAGCCTCCAGCGATCTCGCAGTCATTGTGATGGATTTTTCGCAAAACCTGACGATTCCTTCGGTGGCATGCACCCCATCGCAGTGGTATTTCTGCTCGTTGTTGGCGGTCAACGTCTTTGGGATATTTTTCGATAACACTGGAACGCAAACAACTACGTGTACGACGAATTTACGAGCGGGAAGGGTAGTGACCAAATTAACTCGATGCTGCAGCACTTTATTCGCACGGTAGTGATTCCGTACGGCAACAAGCATCTCGTTGTCTATGCAGACAACTGCATGGGGCAAAATAAGAATAACCACGTGATCAAGTTCTTTGTGGCTCTGGTACACATGGGTGTTCTCGAGCGAGTGGACTACAAGCTCTTTGTGAAAGGTCACACGAAGAACTCTTGTGACCGCGGATTCGGCCACATTCGCAAGCACGTTTCTCGCCAGGATTGCTGGACAATGAATCATATTATCTCCGCTGTGGACAATTCTGCCACCTCCAACACTACCGTTCACATCTCGCGTGGCAATTTATTTTTTACGAGCTACAAACCAGTAGTGACCGAGCTCTACAAGAACCTAACGAGCGTGCAGCAGTACCAGGTATTCTCTATGGTTAAAGATCAGCCTGGAGTTGTTTTGTGCCGCAAAGGACCCGACAATGAAGCAACTAGACAAGATCTGCGACGAAACGTTGATGGAGTTGCCACCGATGACATCAAAGTAGATCGCATGTTCGCTCATTTTTTTTGGAAGACCTGAACCCTTCTCCCCTCAACAGCGAAAAGATGCTAGATCTGCACAACAAAATCCACCCGTATGTGCCGGAAGAGTTCCAAGATGATCCTATCTATGCAAAGCCAAGTGAGCTGCAACAGGAAGACGCTAAAGCGGCCAAACAAGCTCGTCGAGAACACCGAGCTTCAATGGTTGCAGCAGCGAAGGCTAACCAGGACCGCCGAGGCAGGGACGTTCAGGATGAGATTCGTCCTACTCCCAAGACGGCTCGTAAACAAAGCAGATCTATTCTGCAACAGACACATTTTGTTTAGTCAAAATGATACCTGTCTCCAAAATAATACAAAATGATACTTATGTTATAATGTCACTAATGTGAAACTGTGGATATAATTGAAGTTTTGCACATGTTCCAATAACAATTTGAATAAACGGACAACACCACTGGCTCCGCGCGACAATTTTACGTCAGAATGTCAAATAAAAAAATACCTTTTTCAATTTTGGAAACCCAAATCGCGATTCCAACACATGTACAATGTCATTAAAAATTGACAAATGAGACCACACAAAACAAAATAATACTAATGAACCTAAGTACGAATCGCGATTTAAGCACACCACGGGAAAGAGGGGCGTCTCCTCTATCTTTTGAGCACCTGCTTAGCTTCCAGGACTGAGATCTCACTGAGTTATGAGCCGCTAAAAAAATCTCCGGTGCCATGATTCAGCTAATGGCATTGTGTAGAAGTATTTCTCCCCGTAATGGTTGTAAGTGCTGGAACTCTGATGATAAAAAGCGAATAGCACTTGAATTTTATCCTGAAGAACATGAAAATGTTATCGACAACTTATGCAATGAGGCAAAGCAATTCGGTCAGCTAACTAAAACGGATACATGGTTTTTCAATTTAAAGACACTCGAAGGCCTCAGCGTGACGATCAGTCATGACATGGGCTCAGTTTTTTCTACCTTGTATCGACTGGTGTGTTCTTCCAGTTTCGAGACAGGAACCGAACGATCATTTTCCGCTATGAAGCGAGTTAACACACGCTTGATAATGCCTTTAGGTCATGAGTGGCTGTGAAACTTGTTTTTACTAACTCAGAGAGATTTTACCAAGACTAGTGACAAAGATGCCGTTATAGATGCCTTTAGTTCCATGGCAGATCGTCGTATGGCTTTTTAAGCTAGTAATTTAGACTTAATTTGCC